AGGTTTAATACCCGTTTGGCCATCACACAGGTATCTGCAACAGGCGCTTTATGAAGCAAGGGGATCAAAACGGTATTGTGTAACCACCTCAGTTACTTGTTATGGATGCAGCTGGGCTTTGTGTGGGTACTGAAAGCTTAAATCGAAAATAAATAACTATGAGGAAATAGAAAAGGGCTTTATCAGGTTGGAATACAAAGAACAAGAACAATAGAGGACTGGAACATGCCTAAAAATCTGTTTTTCTCCAACTATGAAGACTAATTAAAAATATAACCTTTCTCTACAAATTAGCTTTATATTATTAGACCGCCACGGCCACATTTGTAAACAAATGACACAAATATGGAAAATCGTTAAGCTGTTTTCAAGATGCATACTGCTCTCTGTTGCATTTGAAATGAAAAATATAATTAAACAACTCAAAACTAAAAAAATAGCATCCAAAGATAAAAGGAAGGAAAAAAAGAAACAGAGAAGACATGGGAACGTGCAGTGCCATCCTAGCTTTACATCTATAGCAGTTAGAAAACAAAGAAGATATCGCCTAAGTACGCTGAATTGGGGAAAGTTGGGTAAGTGGCCTTTCACAGTTTTGAAAATTCTCATTTTGTGTTATTGTGTGTGAGGGAGATGCTTTCACCTCCAAAGTTGGGATACATATGGATGTTCCTAGAATAATCACCATTTTGTATCACACTGTTAGGACTTATTAGAAAAGATGATGACTGAATGTAGAAAAAAAAAATCAGACATGAAAGGCTTTGCACACAATGTATCTAAAAAATATCTACTGGGCTCTTTTCTATACCATTACTTTCCCTCACTGTATTCTCCAAGGCCTTTTCGACAACTAAATTTTATCATTTAGACTTGAGAATGATATTCTCAGTGATCAAGCAGAGAGGTCCTGATCAATTCAGATTTTAATAAGCAATTTAATCACTTCACTAAAATTATTACTTTATACATGAAACTAATGGAAAATTTTCTTACTGCCAGTGAACAGGGTATCTGCACCAAAAAGCTGTAAAAGGTGATACACAATTTAGGCCAGTCCTGAGAACTGACCTATCTTTGCAGAAGAGTTACACTGCATCTAAGGGGCGGGAGAAACAGCACAGGCAGACAGCGCACACACCGCAGTGCACATTGCTCTGTGGGAGGAAGGAAAGTATTATACACCCAGGAATAGCAGCCTGAAAATGCAAACACAAAATGCAGTTCCTGGCCGCAGTCCAGCTTCTGCATAAATGCATGTGCGTTTATATTTCCCCCGGGTGAATGCTTGGAGTTTATTTTTGCATAAAATAGCTAGCATATAAACAGTATATTGCAAAATATAAATGCTGGGTGAGAGAGTTCTGAAATTACAAGGGAGGACTAAAAAATGTCTGTCTATAAGCATCTTGCAGTACTCAGACCACTGCATCACTGTGCCTAGGTTACCAAAGACCATAACAGCACCATCATTTAGAACAGCTAAAACAACCTTGTTTAAACGGAAAATGGTGACATCAAGTTGAACAAGCTGCCAAACCCACCATCATTTCTGAAACCATTTCCTGTATCTAAGCAGTCTTAAGCTATGTTTCTAATATGCACACACAAATGTAATGATAGGTTTTTCAATGGCAATATGTTTGAATATTTGCATATACCTTTGTATTGACATTTATATAAACTGTATATCAAGTTATACAAATACATTGTTACAGCTTTGGAATGTTAATGCCAATGTGAAGCAAATGGGCCAGAATAATAAAAGTAAGGCTTCCCACTTTTTCAGTAAAATTTTTTTTCCACTTTTTTCCCCCCCTGTCTTTCTAAGCTCTCTGGCCCCCTGTCTTCACCAGAGCTGACCTTTACAAGCTCATCTTTCACCACTGTCACCCCTTTTTCACGGCTCTTGATGTTCCCCTTTGGTTGCAAGATTCATCATTGAGGTAGTACATGTAACTATGAGGCTGAACTTCATATGCCAGAAAAGCAACGCACACAGAAATCGCAATGCTTACAGCAGCCAAAAAAATCAAGAGCAAACCAAGAACATAACTTCAAATTTCTAATATTTCTGTATTACATGCCATCATTAGAATAACTAAATTTCCGCAGATCTTTTGAAACATATAAAGTTAAGGAGATTCTGAAAATTTCATTCAAATATCTGATAACAAAATTAGTTCCTGAATGCAGTGAATGCTGGGTAGTAGTTGCTGACAGGCAAAAAGCCTTGACTTGCCTTGTCAAGACTCTCTCCATTTCTGATGTCCTCCCCTCTGCTCAGTTGTGTAAATCATAATTCCTTCTGCCCTTATCCATCATGATCCACATGCAGATCTGGTGGGAGACTTATTGATCCTGAGCCCTCCCCACAAAGATTTAATTACTCCAAGATCCAAGCTCACCTGCGGTCAGCTGTTTATCTTCATATGCTGCCCTGACAGTCACTATATCTGCAAGCATATGCATTTAAGTTTCTGAGCTCAAGCTCCCTCCCAGGACACCATCAAGCACTACAAAAATATTACCTACTGTCCTAAATATTGAGATGAAACCCTACCTTTACTGAAATTCTCAGTGGGATGAAACTTCCCCTTCTTCTTATTTACATTAACTGTTAATCCAGGATTATAAACTGCTTAGCATGTGGGCAACCTCTCACCTTTTACAACATCAAGCATAACAATAACCATCATCAATAAATACTACTTTCTGACTCTTTAAGTAAGGTATCTCTTTTAAAATGAGAATAAAGTACCAACGCTATGTCTCAGTTCTCATACTGCAATGCACTTAAGCAAGTAAAATGAAAAAAATAGGTGTATCTTGTGATCTTAACAGCCACTGCTTATTACAACTGTTCAATTTAATGGCGCAATATTAAACAACATAAAGAAGAGCAGAAAAATTATCAAAAACCAATTAGGCATAAACCAACTATAGTTTCAAAAGGGCTATTATCTAATTATATTTGCTATTAGAGTCAAGATTGCACTTGTTTAAAGAAAACATGATAAATTCAATTATTGGTCTCACCAGAATGATATGATCTCACCAAAATTTGACTAAGCCAGAAATCATGAATTCATGACAGAGGCCAAATCCTGCCTTCCTAATTCAGGCATAGGTTTGATGCAGTAGAAAATCACCCCTATCAAATATTCAATTCTATTAATCAACACCAATCTGGCCCACTGAACTACTACACTCAGGAGTTTAAGGAAAGAAATATTTGGCCCAAACCATCTCTCAACAATATAAGACACAGTCCACTCTATGTAACCAAAGTAAAGCTTTATTGATAAAAGCAACTTTATGCAAATGCTCAGCTATAAATTACTTCCAAAGCTTTGGCACTGCAGCATATAGACATCTACGTAGAAACAGTATTCTGTTCTTTTTGGAAGCTTATCAGATATCTTATCAGATAAAGCTTTGTTCACGTGAATCTAATTATTGATGCTTTTTCTAAGTTCTTTCCTGTTGGAGCTTCTTGCAAACTGACTTCAAACTGTTTCATTTTCCGAATAAACTGAGTGATTCCAAACAACTTTTGGTAAAAGAGGAATAAATTAATGATCTGGAGCTCACAATCCTTTTGGTCTTCAAAGCCTTCAAAGGATTTAAAACATAATATTTAACTCTTTTTTTTCACTCTTTGAAGTGGGCCATTTTTAGCAAAGCAACTTAGCCTCAGGTTTCTTCAGTGCCTTACAATATTCTGTCTGGAACTGTGCCAAAATAATTACATATCAGAAGTGTTAATAGCTTAAAACATTACTAAACAACACTATTCTATGTTTAAGAAACAATTAGAATCAGGCAAAGTGTTTCTGCAGGAAATGAATACTGTATCTTTCTAATCTAGAAGTACTATTTTATTCAAACACTAGCTAGAAGACAGAAATATTGAAAGAAAAATCCATGGGAAAAGGTTCAGCTACAAAAGCCTCAAAACACACATTTTAGATCACTGTAATTCGTATTGGTGTTTTTGCAGTTATTCACTTAACTTACTATAAACTTGGTCAACTTGTAACAAAATCACTAAGGTCAAAAGGGTGTCTCTCATTTCAGTGATATTTCCTAGAAATCACTAAAAGGCAAATGATCTAATTCAGGAATGTGTTTTCCTTCCAGAAGAGCCTGAATTAAGGAATTCTGAGATACCCTCCAACTTTGCCTAAAAAAATAAAAACTTTTTGCCAAATTAAACATATGGACTGGATTCAGCCTCAGACATGTAGGTGTCTACGTACAGCTCTTTATATGTAGACTTTTATCGTTAAAGAGGACATAGTTAAAAAAAGTTCACAAAACCGCAAAAGCTGGTTCTGTTCACGCTGAAGCGGCTACACATGCATCTACAAGGAGCTGATTAGCTCCTTACACTCCACTGATGGTATGGACTCGTCCTCCTTTGATTGCAAACAGGAGCCAAAACAACCAGCTTGCATGGAAACACATAAAGACACCTAAAACAGGTGTTGGGGGCTGAAACCTATCTTTGATTTTAAAACTGATTACAACGATTTTAAAACATTCAAAAACTTATTTCAGTTTTTCTTAATAATATGAAGTAAATATCAAAATGAAATTTCATTATAATGAAATCAAAATCAATATATTCCAGAGAAAAGTCTAATTTTAACGAAACAGTCTTTCCTGAAGACAAAACATTTCATCAGGGAAAATGGACCAGATCTACTCTAGTCCACTGAAGATGAGAAAAAAAAAAACAAGAATTAAGAAGTTTTTCTCCTTTTTCCTTTAATACAATAATCCTAACTGACATAAGAATGTGATTTCATCAAGTGAGTGCACATATTCTCCAGAATGAAATCCTTGCAAAAAGGAAATTAACAATAAATAACTTTAGAGGTCATTGAAAAGTTAGAGCAGAAATGTCAAGTATCAGAGGAAGCACCTCACCTCCCAAGAGGCATTAAGATAAGGAAAATAATAATTCCACACTAAACATAAAGTCGTTCTCCTACCTGTGTGCAGACAAATTACTGAGGTACAACGCGTACTTTTCTTCAGCAGACAGCCCATCCATCATCAAATAAAACACATGAAAATTGCTCTGGTTGAGAGGTTGCATAATGACACGAGACTTCTCCAACATGTACGTATAAATCCTAGCTGATTAAGAAATAAGCAAACAAATAAATTCATTATTACATTGATTGCTGTGTACTGATTGCTCTATTTTAAACTATTTACCATTGCAACACTGAACAACAGACAATATGTTTCTTATAAAATAATCTGAGGTAAGCATGACATCAAAAATATTACCGTTCATCCTAACACGGTTTTCTATATAAATCACATACAAAGCCCCACTTCCATTATAATTTCTGGCACAAATTTGTTCCTATTACTTTTGAAGATAATGCCGGTGATTTACACTTTGCTTGAGGAAAGTGTTTGTCTGAGGAACCTGCCGTCATATTTGGCAAGATTTACAAAGACCAATTATTAGTCACCTCACTCAACTTCAGTCATCTAAGAATTAGCATCTACTCTAAGCTGTCCTCTTAATGAAGAGAGAAAGGTGCAAGAGAGTTTTAAGAGATCTTGGAAGAACTGCCCCTGGAAGCTTTTCCTTTCTCTGGTGGCTATAAGGAGAGCTCAGATTAATAGTTTAGATTAGCCACCCAGCTTCTAAATGGCTACAAGTAAATGAGACAAATCCAGTGCAGAGTCGATAGTTAACAAGCTTACTAACTGGTGTTTGGGGAAACGTGGGCATCTCGGAAGGGCTATGATGAGCACGCTAAATGAAAAGCCATGCGAGTTCGCACATCTGGGAGGAAGGGAGATGAGGAAGAACCTGTCTACGATTTGCCAGTGGAAATGTTGATTACAGGATCATAGATACCCTCACGCCCAGTAAGGTTCTGAAGGTGGTCTGGCTACAAACAAACACGGAAAATACAGCACCCAAAGATACATCCACCCGCTTCACCAGATTATAGGCACTGTAGAGCTAAATGTGAAGCAGACAGAGAGAGATTCACTCTTCCGGGTAGATTACTCTTCAGCCCACCCCTGTGTATATGACACCTTGCAGTTCCAGATGCCACAGGCTAAAGACAGCAAGGGAATGCCTCACTGCAGCTAGTGTTTGGGATACTCCTTTGAGTAGCAACCTGACTTCAGTTCCCACTCACTCCATTTTTTGCATACTTTGTCCAATGACTGTTTAATGCAAAATACAGCTTGGGGTGCAAAGACCAGAACTAGGTCCATTCACATAAAACTGAGCACCCTCCACCACCATGATGCAGTACAGTCTTCTGCAGCTTTATGCTTTTAATTCTCTGCAATGTGGTACAGCTTCCACGGGGTGTTAGCAACCATCCTTATCCTGGGAAAGATTGTTGAATTTAGTGGTTAAAGTGCACTCTTCAGCAAAAGAGACGCATTTTTGAATCCCTGTGAGCAGAAGAGGATATTAAGCCAAGATTTCCCACAGTCTAGATGGCTATTAACACAATTAAGCCTCCTTCTTTAAGAACTAGAAGTAGCTACTGCACATACAGTGCATCATGTAGTACAGTAAGTATATTCTCTAAACACATATTGAACTGCTCAATTCTGCTCAACATTCTGAACTGCTCAAGATTTATTTTCTGAGACAAACTAGGATTAAACATAAAATAGCACTGAGTTATTCAGCGCAGTCAAAACCGTAGCACTTCTGGGCATATGCAGAAGCTCAGATTCAGATACTGGAGACGCTTGAAATTTGGCGCACCATGGGAATTTAATAATTCTGAAGATAAGGATAGTTGAAAGAGTAATTTCAGAATCAGATTTAGACTCGGACATCTAAGTTTAAAGCTACTGCCCAATGCAACACTGAGCAAAGTTATGCAGGTTAGTTCTCAGCCTGTGACTGAGTGTCAGAAGTATGTTGCAGCACTAACCTAAATGCTAGGATAGAAACCAGAATGTCATGCTCCTGCCACCGTACAGGTGCCAATATCCATAGTAGCTCAATCAGAGCTAGCTTGGCTATTACTATTCCATTTATATTGGTCAGGAAAATATGCTTTTGAATCACTGAAGTGTCTTCTTATCTTTTGGAGAGTGGTAAGTCTCTGTCTACTGTTAAATAAAATAGGGCCAGTGGCCTGTCTTTTGAGTCACTTTAAGTTAGGAGGGAACGTGACCTGTGAGGATAGTGCTGAAGGACAGGGCAGAACGGAGGGAAACCAAACAGATAAAACTTAAACATAATGTCTTAAGGATGGTCACAGGTGAGCGCTGTCCCTAAACTAAGTATAACCACACACTGCCTCAGAAAGTGCTTCTTGGCACAATTCAAACCATGCCAGAAACACACCAGCTAAGCAGTATGGATAATCAGTGGTGCACTATACTACTCAGGGCCACTTTTCATCCTTTCTTTTATTCAGCAGCACAGGGATGGCCAGACACATTCACTAGCATTCAAAATAGTGACTAGGGCTCCGGTTACAGAAGAGACAGTAAGACAGACACAGCAAAGTTGTATGGCTGACTTGCTGAAACAGTGAGATATGATCTGGCCCATTTAATCATCCTACAAAAAAATAATAGTGAACTGGCCACATAACCCTGTGTTACTAAAGAAAAAAGAACTGTGCTGGAAATCAAAGGGTGTGCTTGGGAAATCATTAAGCTGGTACAAGGACAGGTTTCCAACTCCAGTGACTGTTGCAGCGCAGTATAAACTGAAGCAACGCAAACCCTGTCTACCATGGTAGGACTGGTCCGGGCACACACTATTATCGGCATCAGTCATCACCTGGCTGCCATTCCAGCAGGGTAAAACAGAATATATGAACCTGAGGGATGATTTCCATCCTTTATTGTGCTCGTAACTTACTTCTCGGTAAAACTAACCCTGCTGTCAAATAATGTGAAAAAAAAAGCTATTACTAATCTTTAATAACCTTCTTGGGTACAATGGTTTTCACCATGGCTGTCTCAATTAACACACAGGTGTTTTTAACCTCCAACAAAATGAAGAAAAATGATACTGGAAGTAATCTGATTAATTAATACACTTAACTGCAATGGCAGCACCACTTATTTAGATGACACAAACTAATTCAGCCCCTTTCAGCTACTTCAAGTCATCTCCTTTAATAAGGCTAAACACAGTTCATTTCAGTTAGCATCTCCAGGAATGGGAAGAGCTATTTAGAACAGTCAGGTTTCTGATTAACAAGAATCAAACATACCATTGTCTTACTGGAACTAAAGTTATTATGAAAGAAAACTACCACGGTAATTTGACTTTTCTACAAAGTGAAATGATACATTCTTTAAACTGTGTGTGAAATACAAGGGAAAGATAATAGAGTTCCAAAGCAAAATCTGTCATTTTTGTGCAATGTTAACTGTGCCTATAGATGTGAGGAAATTTGTGCTTCCTTTAATAGATCATTTGACCTGCTGAAGAGCTACAAAGTCAGCAAGCAGACTCTACTGAAAGTGTGGCCAGTGAAATCTTTCTTCCAACAATGCATTCTTTGAAACTACATACGTTTCTCAAAGGTCTTGCTGTCTTAAACACAGCTATTGATAAAGACAAAATAACACTTGAAATTTCAGAGCTGAAACATTGTACAAAAATATATCAGAGAGTTTGTTGGCTGCAGTCTTTTTATACCAAAAAAGCAACTCAAATTTGAAACTTTTTTTTTAATTGATCACAAATGTTTATAATACACACAAGGGAATACACACTTCTTTTTACAAATCAAGTTCGATCCTGTCATTTTAGTGCAACTTAAAAAAAAAAAATCAGGCCTTGTTTTTGAAAAGTGAGGGCTAAGGAAAAAAAAGGCAGAAAACAGTGGAGAAAAAGTCTGTCATGACTGATTTTCTCTTGCTAGCCTTTTTCTTTTTTAGTTATTTGAGGAAACTGTTATATTTCATCTTAGGTCAGATGTCAACTTACTTAAGAGACCATCTACCCTCTTCCCTCTCAAATAAAGATTTTACTTCTGGAAATACATAAACGATCAGCTTTCACTGCTATGCACTAGGCATGAAGCATCATCTACAAAGGACTATGTTTTTTTGATAGAGGTCAAAGATCAGTAGGTGAGTTCTGTTAGGTATAACTTTCTTTTAGAAAGTTAATGACGTCGCTGGTCTGCAGTTTATTCTGTATTTCCGTTCATGTAACACTTTCTATTAGTTCCCACTGCCTTATCTAATCTAATCCCAGTGAGCAATAACTTAACCTTGGTTACACCTTCTCCACCCATTTGACTGGACAAAAGGTATGAAGGTACCTGATCATTCAACCTTTTTTTCACAGGAAAACTTCATTTGAACCTAACATTCACCAGAAACAAGAGTCAGAGAAGGCACATAAAGCCTCTACCGCTGTCTGTACTGGCGTTTAGTAGCGCCACATGCAAAGGCTCCCTCCTTTTCTTCATGAATTTGTGCCAAAGTTTAGCAGAAAGACCAAATCAAGCCTGTAGATGAAAATTATGGGTAGTGTCTCTGTTCTTTGGATATAGTCGGCTTTGTGCTGTAAGAGTAAACTTGATGTGACAAAGAACACTTTCAAGGTACAGGCAGAAAAGAACATCAGCGCAAACAAGAGAGCTATCGTAAACTTCACTGAATTTCACTTAAAATGCGTGGAATGCTAACTTGAACTTGCCCTCTGTAACAAAAATGTACATGTGTACTCTACGTGCATCTTCCTCAGCAAATTGCTTTGCGTCTCCCGCCTTAAGTTCTTTCTGTTCAAGAGTTTAAACAGCTTAAACTCTGTGTTGGAGGCAGTCTAGTATCACTTGAATTTTTATTTACAAATCAGACATATTTAGCCTAGTTTGCATAAGTGAGTTATAAAGTCATGTCTCAGCAGAATCGGGTGCTCTGCAGATTTACACTGTTCATTCATGTTTAAATAGCGCAAGACAAAGTAAATACTGCTGCAAATGATCTTTCAGATAGATATACAGAATCATTGAGTGGGATTTATACTGCAGCCAAAGACAACGTGCCTGATTCTTTTCTCATTTACAGTGGCGTAAATCAGGAACAATTTCACTCAGAAGTGCTGTTTAGCCATGGCCTAGAAATGCAACATCCGCAATGCAACATCAGCAATGCAAACAAATAACATGAACAAGTGCAGCATTATAATTACTTATAACCATATGAAAATCACTTTTACTGTTCTACCGTGGCTTTTGACTTTTCACTGTATATTGTGGAGCTTTTGGTTACCTTACACGTAGTAACATTAATTGATTCAAATCCTAAATAACTGAGGAAGGGGAGGGCATATTAGTCATCGGTTTATACTTTTTAATGGGCTTGACTCACCCCTCAATTTCCTCATTTTAAACCTGTATTTAAAAAGTGATACAAGCACAGCATTTGTGTAGCAGAACATTGACATCAGGGCCTGGTTAAGTGGGTCTACATTTATATCAGTAACAAACAAGGCTGTGAATTAAACTGACGAGTCTGAGTAAAGCTTCTTGAAAAAGTCAGGTCTCTGCAACCTCACGCAAGACACCTGAAATAGTGGAAACATTCAACCTTAATGGTTCTGTGCTTCAGTTCCTCATCTGTAAAATGGAGTGACACAGCCCTAAGCCAGAGGTACTGTGAAATCGAAGCCACTTATGTCTCTGAAATGCTCAGACACTTGAAGATATTGATGAACGCTTGAGAATTCTACAGGAAAACTGTCATTCTGTTTTCAGAGCAGGATATACAATAAAAAGTTTTTTTAGCCACACATGGACCAGTGAAGAGAAAACAAACTACTCAGCAGCCGATCACTGAGGCAGGGTCGTCCATTCTCTGCACTGCATGAAGCTGGAGTGGTGTGGAAAAACAGCACTATCAAATTTGTATACACAAGACAACGAAAGAGTATCTCAGACAATGTCAGCATTTACTAATGCTCATATGCTTAACTTTTCAATGTTAGTACTATTTGCATCTGTTTGTGTTTGTGCAATGTGTGCAGCAGAGTGAGAGAGAAAGCATGCAGGTCATCTAAATGTCACAACTCCATTGACTCTAATTAAATATATACAATAAATAAGATTATTAAAATGTTAGTGCTAGAGATTGAACTTAAATTTACAAACTCAATTCATAATCTATTTTAGTCCATTCTGATGTTTAGATCAATTTTATTATAGTCCTCATGAAATAGCTCACGAATGAAAAAAAAAGTTGTATACTTTTTAATTTTACATTTTCTTCACAAGTATTTTACATTTATTGTAAAATAAAACAGAAAAAAGTGGTATTGATTTCCCACACAGTGATATTTTCACCATTTTGGCAAAAGTAACTATCTTATTTGATAGAGTATGGTGAAATCCCTAGAGAAAATTATAATTTTAATTTTTGAATTATAATTGCCCCACGAAATATTTCCAAAGGCTATACTTAGGAAACTCCTCTGAAAGCATAAAACTACTTACCGTGTCAAAAAGTGGGTAGTTCCTAAAATGTTTAGCCAATGCAAACTAATTCATTCAGATCCAAAATGGATCTCCCCACACAGCTCTGCCATCCAGGAGAAACAGTGCAAGTCGGAAACCATGCCTGTGCACAATTACTTCTGCGCTCACTTTTAGCATAGAATAATTTTACGATAGCTTATAGGGACCAGAAATGAAAGTGCTCCCAGACTGGCTCTGACGATCAGAATATGCAGGACTAAATTGAAATTTTTGCCCAATATTCATTTTCTTCACTGAAAAATGCTTGCCAGGGAGGAGCAGACTCCCGCTAACTGTGAAAGCAGGCACCAGTTCCACGCTAGCTTATCTCGAACTCGAAGAAGCATCAGTGTGATTCCTGCTGCCTTCAGAGGGAGCTCAAAGCTGTAGGCAGTAACTTCTAGCTTGGGTACGATAGAGTATACCGGGTTTTTCTTTGCACCCAACAGATGAGTTCACCACTTATTTAAGACATACTTAAAATACGCAGTACAAAATCAGTTACAAATGCAAATATTGATCCCTTTGTTACTTGTATTTCACAGTAAAGCATGCACAACTGTCACAGTTTGTTAACCTCAGACATACACAGAGGGAAATACCATTTCCTGGGAGAGGCGAGAAGAGTAAGCAGGTGTTCAATTCTTTTCTTGTGTTTCTCTGCCATCTAGTGGTTACACGGAGCAGGTTTCGCCTTTTCAATACTGTGCACTACTCTTGCGATAAACTGGTCACGCTATTAGTCACGCTACTCAGTTCCTTTTGCGCTCCGCAAAGCCCCCTTGTCTCTCTCCCACAGGCCAACCCTATTTCTGTCTAACTGTGTGTATGGCACACTGGGATCCCTCATCTCCTAGTCTGTAGGTGGTATCATATTAAAACTATTAGATAGCACACATAATACTTACCTCCAGATAACGTTTTTTTCTTCTCACAAAACTGCAGCTCAAAATATTTTATAAAACAGCTGGTCAAATCATTCAGGGGTGTCTTAGCATGTCCAAAGGCCTCCAAGATACAGTTTACCTGCAAATAAATGGTAAATGAAAAAATAAATAAATAGGATATTTCAACAGCTGTCAGTGAGAATGGTTTGGAGTCAGTAACTAAAAAAAAAAAGACTGTTTATTAGCTTTGAATTTAACAAATTCCTTGAAATTTTTGCATATATAGAAATTAAAATAAGATAGCTCAACAGAAAAAAAAAAAAAAAACTGTTCGCACAATACTGAAAGTTGTAAATGAAAGAGGAAAAATAATGGCTCGACCCCGAACCGTGCCCTTACAGGTAATAAGGATACAGGTGACTGGAGTTATATGTCCACAGTACCAGTCAGCTGATAATAACAACCAGGTAAAGGAATTCACAAGCTTTGTATGATGCCATAAATGAGCTATACAAAAGAAAGTGGGCTTAAATTATTGATTTGGAAGAGCATTATACTAATATAAAATTGAGAAAAATCAGATTCAAGTTATTTTTCTGGCATTCCACTATTAATGCATTTTCATGTTTCATCTTCATGGTCAGATTATTTTTAGAATAGTATTTTCAAAGCACTAAATGCATTAAAATGCATTAAATGTGTCAGATTTCTCCCTTTTTTTCCCTCTATATTTAGCTCTTTCTGTTTACAGTAAGTTTCTTACACTAAATTGAACATGGTCAATTTTTGTGTTTGCATCCTGGGAAACTGATTGCAAAGTGACTTCAATATACTATTGCTCTGTATAACTGGGGTTTGCTGGATGAACGTAACTTATAGACCATGGCTGTGGGAAGTAGGAGGAAAGAGGGCTGCAGAGTGGCACAGATTAAGCGTGACTCCAGACACAGAAAGTCTAAAAATCAGACCCGTCAAAGTTATAAGCCCAATCAGCTATTTGTGCAGCAGGTGGCAGCAGAAAACTAGTCAGTCTCTTTCTGGTTCCGCTTCGATAGCACAGTACTGGGTGTATTTGCTCAAATCAGGCTAATTCAGCATGTGTTTCGACCAGCACAGCTTTATGAACTTTAATGGTGCTAGGCATAACTGCAGCAGGAAGGAACACAGGTCATCATGTTCATTAGAGCATCTTAAAAAGCAACTAAAATGGAAATTCCACTTGCTTCCCCATGGGTGGGATCTACTACATCTAGCTTAGCTGTCTGAAGTCAGGAATCCCATCTAAACTACTTACAAGGGATCTTTTTATAATCAAAAGACAACTCATCTTTCTTAATATGTGATTCTCTTCTACCTCCACTGACTCAGAACTATTGACATGTGTGTTAAGTCCACACTATTAAACTACCAGGTATCACTCTCTAACCCGCACGATAAGTGGCATGAGGAGGTTCATATTCACGCGTTTCACAACTCTTCCTTTGCAGAATGGAGTGATCATACCGCTGTGAACAGTTCCTGGCATATGCTGTCCTCTGAGCTTTCGCCAGATATCTGTAGATCTGACTCCTGTGTTTGCAGCAGATTAAGAGTGTATTGTCCCTATATAATGGTATTACTGTAACATTATACTTCTTAACTTAAATCAGAAAAAAAAAAAAATTAACAACAGCATTCCCAACACTGTTGCATGAAAACTAGATTAAACATGTCAACTTAGGAGCATCATCAATAAATCAGATTACACTGTGAAAAACACTTTAACAAGGTAATTTATGACTGTATGAAGTAAAGCAAAGCTGAAGCTTATTCAACTGTAGTGTTTTCAGGGTCATCAGGCTTCTTTTAGTAAGTCTTCAAAAAACACAAACGCAGCACTGTTTTCTAAAATCCACACCAAACCCAAAGGGTTTCTATTTCCTTATCGGCTGAAATGTGTAAAATATGAACCAGTAAATCCATAGCCTTCCTTATATTCCAATAGTCCTGATTTGTGGTTTGTGTGTTTGTGTAAGCTGTACTTCTGACAATATTTTATCATCTTTGTGGATTGTATCATGCATAATTCAAGGATAAAGCAGTGTTTTTTGAATGATACATGTGACACTGTCAAACGTTATTAAAGCAAACACAGTGAACAAGAGTCTAGAGTTACTGAACATCATGCATCTGGGAAGTTAAAGATGAAAAACAAAAAAGAGTATCTTGGGTTTACTCTAAGTGCTGTACATAAGGGACACCAGAGTGGGTGAAAGAGTTTAAGTATTTTTTTAAAGTATGAAACTCAGAACTCAGCGACAAGATTATAGACTGTGTTAAAACATTCCATATAAATCCGAATCTGAGTGAATATCTCAGATGAGAAGTTTCACAAGGAAAGGCAATTTTTGGAAAGAATTTGAATTGGCAGTCTAGAGTTCTGCATAACCTAGAATGTCAGTCTGAACCTGTGCAGTAGTATTAAAGCTGCAACCATAAAACACATGACTGAGTTCCAATGTTCTGTCAAATAAAAACTTTATATTCTTAATTTACTAGCCTGAGGACAAATTTATCTGACACATGAAGCAGGCTCTCATGATTTCATGACATGCACTGCACAGAATTTGATTCTGTTGTGGGAATTTGCTATTTCAACAACTATTTCATAACTCTTTTGCCTATTTCATAAATATATTTAGTACACAAAGACTGAGATTTATAACTTTGTTCAGTCTTTGCAGTTCTCCTAGGTATAACTTTTAATTTCTGTCTTATGTACTATTACTTCAGATGCCTCAGGACTTCTTTTAGTAGCCCGAGAAGCATGACCACAACCAGAGATAAACTTATTTACTTACTGCAGGCTATTAGTACATATTTAAATAACTACCATATTACCCAAATATTTCCTACTCACTGAAACATAGCTTTTTAAAATTACTAATAAATACAAAAACAGAATTGGCTTCCACTTTTTCACATCAATGCGAGCTTAATCTTGTTCCCGTTCAGGTCACTGCAGGGAAAGAAACCTCCTTTAACCTGAATGAAGAAAACAAACCCTTTATGAACTTCCACATAGCAAATTCCTTTTTCCTTGCAAATGTCTTTGCTTATTCAACAGGCCAGATTTTCACCTTGTTCTAATCAGTGCTCAGAATGTTACTTACATGTTTTATCTTGGTATCAAAGGTATTTCCGCTGGAGCTGGCTCTGCAAGTGAGGTGCTTCACTATCTGTTTGCAGGCTTCTGTCTTTCCAGAACCACTTTCTCCACTGCAAGATGACAGGCAAGAAGGAGAGGGAGGAATCACTGCTACATCACAGTTGATATTTTGCGTTATTTATACTCTCTGCTACCTTTCTTGAAATGGATTTAACATATCTCAGGCAAACTTGCATTTCAAATAATGGAAGGTTTATGGATAGCAACGAATAAAGAACAGATCATAGGAGACAGACTGGCCAACGATCTACGTTCATGGCAGGTCTCAGAGCTGTCACGTTGTATTGTCTTATAAAACAAGCCTAGCCAACCAAACCTAAAGCTCACAACCACTTTGCAGATATTTATAGCAAATCTTTTATCTCTTCCTTTATCTCCTGTCCCGCAAAGAGTCTGCTTATACTGAAACTGCCTGGTTCTCTTTGCAGATGGGGAAATACTACTGTGGTAATTACAGGAGTAAGAAGGAAACAAAAGTGTAGAAAATAACAGGAAAAAGTAAAGTAAATAAAAGAGGAAAGGAACAGAAAGGAAAAGAGAAAGATATCTAAGAACTAGCTGGCACAGAACATTGTGTTATGCACAGTTTCTTTTTGAGGCACTGCCCTGATCAGTAAAAAAGCTGGAGAGACTTTATAAGCGGCCCAGTCTCTGCAGTGCAATATACTCTGACTTCAGAGATGATGAATTCTGTTTCATTTCATTCCCTTTACAGGTTGTGGAATAAATATTCCAAAGAATCAGAACCTCTGAGGGGAGGAATGAACAAAGAAAACAAGGTAACAGGCAATGTTGACAACAAAGGTGGGAGGAAACAACAGAGAAGCAGAGAAACCGGGCCGGGGGAGAGGGAGAGAGAGGAAAGGGAACTCAGTGGGGCAATTTAAGCTTGGAGAAGGAAGAAAAAAGACAAAGGAGTTGGAAAGGACAAAGTGAGTGACGCCTGATTAAGAATCATCTAAGAATTTCTAACACGTACTGTAAGAAATTGTCTTCTTTACAGACAACTAAACCAGACAAAATGCAATTTGATGCTCCTCCTTCATCTGCTCAATCAAACTTAAAAGGCTGTTTCTACAACAGCCAGTTAGATTTTCACAAGTATGGCCATGCTAGATGGTCAGCTGCTACCTGCAGAATCTAGCAGTTTATGAAAATGATGGGCCAGCAACATATATCGATCTGGACACTGCCATATTTACTGAAATCTCACATGAAACGAGGAAACAATTAAATAGAGGAAGAAACAAAAGCTGGAAGGGAAAAAAGAGGTTTTCATACTCAGACAGGAATAAGATCTCTGCACCATTTATTCTCATTCAGTTATTATGAGACACATATGCAGCTCTGGTGAATATCACAGTTGTTGACTGTTAGCTGCAGTCTTAGGTGACAAGATAAGTATCTTTACCATATGTGACACTTCAAACTGTTTCTGTCTGTATCCTCCTTGTTTCTATAACCAGCGGGAGTATGACCCTAGACTTCAAACTCCTGCTGGCATCAGTAGGAGGTTTGTGTTGTAAGATTGCAAAAGCTTGCAACATGGATGCACGTTATGCAAAGACCTCAAATAACAGGCCACGAGGCCATATTTAAACCAGGGCTTAGAAAGAAAGAAATTATGTCAAGACAAGAAGGTCACTGTCACAGCTAATGTGAGAATAGTGTCTCTATGGAATTGACAGGTTACTCCCAAAGTACACTATCCCATGGTCAGATCTCCAGCTTCTGCCTTCCTAAAACATTTCTTTTTGAAAGTCAGATGATATCGAAGTCACTCTCTAAAATGTGCATGTCCTTTTGTCCTTTTAACCATGACTTCATTCTCACAAAGCTAATTGTACCATGCTGAATCTGTTCTTAAGAAGTGACATCAGCCTTCTGTTTTTGTAACAGCTGTGCCCAGATCTCCTATCCTTTTCACTATGATCACTAACAGGCAAAGAAAAAAATGAAAGAATGGCATTAGTCCTGTGATACTCCTCTCCTAGAGACATTTCATACCCTTGCAAATTACATGCCCTTATTATGCACATCAGTGAACTTGAAGATATTTTGGATCTATCAAGGGGTTGCAGCCCCTCCTACTGCCCACTTACACTGGCCAGTGCATGGACATCAGTGTGTCATGACGAGGAAGCAGTTTTGTCCCTCCACAGCATACTTAATCCTAAATCACAGCTGCAACCTGCTATCATTATACTACAAGTTATCAAGAAGATTAGTAATAGTGGCACTTCAGTTATTTCAGCTGTTTAGGAAACTACTAAGGTCATTTCAGTAGCTCTGAGCTCAGCACATGCTGATGGGACGCCTGCACAGGCTGCCTGGCTGTTTCTGTCCAGAGCGGCCGTGGTCGGCGTTGCACCCCCTTCCTCTTAGCGGGGCTGCCAGCTGGCACAAAGCCTGGGGGGACACCACAGCTGCAAGACCTCCGCGGATGAAAGCGGCCAACAAGTTCAAAAGGGGAGGAGGGGGACTTAGAGGTGGACAGATAGAACCATAATACAAGAGTAGATCACTTAGGAAGCCAGGCTGAAATAGCCAGAAAACCACAACCTCCAGGCAAAATTTTAAAAGTACATTCCTGCAAGTACTGAAAAAGTATGCTTTGCTTACCCTAGATTTCTGCATGCTAGCCAGGTTTGTCTAAATCTGGGTGAATTCAGCTAGCTTCCTTAATTGGATTATTTTTGCGTGGTCAAATGTCAATTCTACTATAACCTAAATCCTAGCAATCATCTGCTTTGCGAAAAGCATGACAACATATCATAAAACAAGAAAGAAGGCATGTACTTGTCACTTCAGATTGTGTAAGTGAAGGGGTTTTTTTGACTTTGTTTCATTTTCAATTCTGAAAAAAAGGTACCACATTCAGAAGGACAGGAACACTTAACAAAACAAACAAAAAAGACTATTCCTGCAGTACTTGAATCATAACCAGAAACGCTGGAAAACTTATAATAGAAATTGTTCATATAAGATTTCCACCAGCGGTAAAGCAAGATTCAGATCAGCGCAGATATGCTTGCTGTTTTGTATGAACTTCTGAAACTCATCTTTTACTGTACCGCCCTCAAATGTGTACGTTTTTAATCCAAACACCCATTCTGATAGTAAGATTTAGCTAGGGAAGACAGAGTGAGTTTACAAGCTTTTTGGAAACCAAGAAGCTGTCTTCTCAGTTTGCTCACAGCCTAAGCAAGACATTGGATCTTGCTCCATGACTGGGATTGCTAGATTTGAGGTAAAATTGTATAAGCAGAAATGTAAAATAATGCACTTTGTATCAGCAGTAGTGATATGTGGAATTAAACAACCCATTACGTTAGTGGGAAATTATATTTCTAAAGTAAACTAAACTGGAAAGTATATTTCTAAATGATTTTAAATTATAATTAGGATGCCTAAATCTGTAATTATACTGCAGTAGCCCATCGCAGTTATAACACACTGAATTACAATTTAAAAATTACAGATTATTAACTTGAATTGAATTCACATGGTGATGCTAAACTGAGGAAATAAAAGGCTGTCAAGGCATTTCACTTTAAGAGAGGAGGACTTCTCTCTGTTCCAGATTATTGGGCTTATAAATGTGGTTTATATCACAATAAAACCATTGGATATTGACATTTCTGGCTGTTAAAACGTACACAATTATAGCAATTCATTTGATATATTTATTTTGTTTTTTGTTTTTTTTAATCACCAAATTAGTCATCTGTGTCACATAAACCATTGGTTTGATCGACTAAGGATTCTTAGCTCTTAACAAGCCTATAAACCATGTTTAAGCTTTCCAGACAGCTCTCACTTATCTTGTCAGTGCTTAATGCATTCTCATACCCTGAACACCATGGGGGGAAAATCCATTGAGAAGTAAATTAATTATGGTGGAGAAAAGCCTGTCTATCGGCTATTTAAGAGTATAACATAACGTTATTTTATTCTATCACTTTCATATAAAGTTTATATCAGGTCAACTTTTGGTGTTAAGCATACATTAATGATGGTAGTTTGCTATAGACTAAAAATGATAGTGAATAACTGGTAGGAGACTCTTTCTTCAATGTTTTGGCCAAATACTTTCCTATTGTAAAACACTTGATTTTAGTGAGCAAATGCTTGATCAGACGTAAGGTGACTAAAAAAAAAAAGAACATACATACATACATACAAACAAAATTTTCTCATACCAACGGTAACTACATAGAGGAAATTAAGAGTAAATCTTCAGAAGAAAAGAACCATATTAAAATAAACATAAAAAGATAAAGAGGGTGGAGAGACAAAGACAGATCTAGGCCATCCTGAGAGTTTTAGGTGAATTGCCTTTTTTTCTTTCAACCATTTCCATTGCACAGATATGATAGGATGTTTAAGGGAGAAGAGCAGACTCACGAAGAAAACTAAAACAAGTCAACAGTTATGTTTATGTAAAATAGTAATAACTTTTTATTAAATCTGAAAATGAAAACACAGCTTTACAGAGTTTGAACACGACCTTACAAACGTGCTGCAAAATAAAGTGCCTTAACATTGTTTGAAATTTTAAGAGTCAGGCTGGATACTGTACTCTGATTTGTTCTTGGCCTTAAAGCCAGTCTATTAATAAGCATAGTCCTTAAGGTGATTTGATAGATTCTGACTTCTATATGTTTCGGGTAGATGGGAACATTTTCATTCCTACAATGTCTTTAGGCACAGGAAATGGAAAGGGTACATATTAGGTGATGACACTACAGAAGGGAGGATTTTTCTTTATCTGATACAAGCCCATGCTGTTTTGCAAACAGTAGGTAGCTTGGCACTCGAGAACAGCCGTACTCATGACAGAAGTGCTGTTTTTTCACTTGATTCATTTTTGTGCTCAGGGAGAACCACAGATCTGAAGCTACAAAACTCTTCCCCTCCCAACATAGGAGCTTCTCATAGCCAAATTTCTGTAGTTTATTCCCAGAGAGAAGGTGGTGTCTCTGCTTCTGTATATTTAATTACTATCATTATTACAGCCATTTGTTTGGTGTCAGGAGACTCCAGCCATGCACGTGCCGGCCAATGATATAACATAGAAATGGTCTGGCCCGAAGGAGCTTCCAGTCAAAAATATGACTGGACACAAGCAGATGCAAAAACAAATTCAATAAAAACAAACAAATAAAAATCAGATGGAAGGTGTATGAGAGAGAGAGAAGACAATAACTAGGAGTAGCATAGCTGCACATGTATGTGTTGTCTAATTTATAAGGGGCCTGATCCTACTGAATTAGCAATGCTTTGAGAAAGTTTATTGAAAAAGACTCTGGTGCAGAAATACCTAATTTCTGGATCTCAGTCAAGCTTAAGTGTGAAATAAATAGTGCTGTGAGGTTCTGCCCTACCAGACACTACAAACTTCTAAATACAGACATTATGTATTTAAATGTGGAAGGCAAAAACTATTATTTAGACTAAGAAAAACAGTACCATTAACAGTACCATTCTCCATGAGAATTCATTAGCAACGGTATGTGTCCGATAGAAGAGTAATTAATGAATCATTAGTAATGGCCACTAAATTCATGGCGAGTTTCTCCTTGTAATTAAGCTTTGGCAGAAAAATAATGTTGAACTGAAAAACATTGCTGATAAAAAATAAATATTATCTTCACAAATTAAGCAAGTTGCATGCTTGATGATTTACATGAATAAAGGTACATTTTCTGATATTATCTCCAGTCTTTTTGAAAAGATAGTAGGTGGCTTCAAAATAAAAGAGAAGTCTTCTGTAAAAACAATTATTGTTTTTAGAACAACAAAATCAAACTTTTCAGGAGGAATTCAGATGAGATATATACACTGTCATCACTTGATTCTTCTGTGGAAATTAACAATCAAATTAGATATGTTTTTAGAAATGCACATGAAAAGTAAAATATTAATAGTGCTATGGCGCTAATTTTTACTGCTCCATATCATACACGCACACCAAAGCAGTAGCCTCTTCTCATAGTAAAAGCTATTATAATAAAATTAAAGTATAATTACTTTTACAAATTCTACTAGCAAAATATTTACTTATACTATAAAGTTTTGTTATATATACTTAAAAGTAAAATAGATCTAAAAATAAATAGAGACTGGGGGAGATGAGGGGACATTCTTTAATTGCACCATCTTTCACTTACTAATGAGGACATTAGTAGACAAAAGTGTACTCTCAGTGTCCCATTTCAAGAGTGCCTGTGTGCCAAAACGAAGTATCTTACAGGTGTTAAGAGAACTCCATCTTAGAATTAGCGCATACTCACAGGGATGATCTGCTTTCACTGGATTTACTACTAACAGAAACAAAACTAGCATCCTTCTGATACAGCCTGGCTATTTTCCTACACAGCAATGCTGCTCATAGTTAGAGCTCTGTCCTGAACAGTGTCAGGCCACCACTTTGATTTTACAGTAGCAGTAAAACTCTCTGGGTGACTTGAGTATGGGGATTCTAGGAACTACGCAGTTTAAGCCAAAACCACCACCAAAACCAGTGGGCCCTGCTATTTCTGCTCTGGAAACTCATTTCACCTCCATGGGAATTTGGTTTGGGAACTGATTCAGGTTAAAACAACTCCCCTGCCACCACCACTACTCTCCCTGGGGTAATTTCAACCTGGGAGCATTTCCCCAGTCCATACCACCATCTGAATGTTTGTGTACGGAAACGAGAGAATGAGCAGCCAAAGGTAGGAGAAGGGCAGGACCACTCCAGCTGGCAATAATGCCAGCTTAATGCAGCGGAAAGTTCTCATGGCTCTATGGCATCACCAAAGAACTAAAGACTATTTCACTAGTTCATTCACAGGCTGCTTCCTTCTGACTTCTTCTGTGAAATGGCCTTTCTAGCTAAGGAGAGCTTCCCTGAGCTTTCTCATCTTCATTCATACAGTGATTCCACATTAGAGAGAAGCGTATCGTTTTACTTTTAAAATTTGTTTTTAGGCGCTCTCGCTGCACTACACATATACGCATGCAAATGCATTCACACCTCAGCTTTACAGCTGGAGATATTTTAAAATTCCAGGCCACAGACCAAACACGTTCAGAATTTCTCACACAGGAATGAAGAGTATGCTTGGTAAGTGAAAACGGAGAAAGCAACATAAAACATGGAAGTTTTTTGGAATGTTTTTGAGCTTCAGAATTGCAGAAGAAAGTTTATCTAATTCTGATAGGAAATGAAATCGAGATCTTGTAAATCTCTCCGCAAACCCCTCTCTAAGCAAAAAATTATAGAAAAACTGCCTGGATGCTATGTCACATGCTTTCAGGGCCAGAATGTATGCCCTGGTCCATATTACTTTTTAGCACAGGAACAGCCAATGAATCACCCCACATAGTGGCAGGATCACCTCTTCTTGCTGATAAATAATGTTATTTTACAGCTGAAATACAGAGAATGCAGAAATCCATTTTGAGCACACACACACGTTTGCTTGCACATATGTGTATGCACACAAACTCAGGTGATAACAAGGGGGTAAAGGAATACACTGAGTGTCATGGATATTTTTCAAATTACTATTTTTTTGTAAGAAAAACAATGGAAATTTCCTATATCACCTTTGCTTTCCAGACATTCATTATTTAGATCCTACTAATGGTCTAATAATGAGAATATCCATCAGTCACATAAAGTGAAATCCTGACTTTTACACAAAGAACCATTTTTAGTATCTTTTTGGGACTTCTGAAAGATCCCTGTTCCTCTCTATTTTCTCAGTTAGTGATAGTTAGTTAGCCAAAGAAAAGCATTCACAAAGACCTGTGATTCTAGTAAGTTGCCACTACACTTATCTCCTACCCTAAATTACCAGATTCATTCCATTCAGCTTCCATTTTCATATTAACCTTTAGATCTAATTAAAAGCCACGTAAAAGGATACTTCAGGACTGTAAATCTGCGGATTGCCTTGATGTGATGCGCAAATGTTTGGCCAAGTGCTGATGCCATCAGCAGAACACCCTCCTGTCACATTCTCTATCAGGTCACTGATTTATAATAAGCTCCAGTGGGCTCGGCAGGGATCAAGAGTGTGATTCTTAGCACATGCCTTGCCATTCTGATATTATATTATCACTAGTATCCGCTCCCTGGTATCAAACCCATTTATTATTGAATAGACTACTCGTTGTGCATTACCACACAATTCTTAATTTAGCAGTTGGCCTTTTTTTGAAGTGTGAGTAAAGACTACTTTCTGCTTCATCTCTGTCTACACTTACAGGCAACTTCACAAAGATATTAATCAACCAGCTATATCCCAAAGGAATAAGAAGAGAAAGCTCCTACTTTGGAGAAAATATTGAACATGGTGCCTTAGGAAATTTCTTATTTTTATCAAAACTAAATATTTCAATTGAATGAGAGCTAACATTTATGAGAAAAGAATATGAGCATACAGTAATGATTTCCTGATATTGCTCGTACTTCCACTTAAATGTCACTGCTCACTGGACAATTACCTTATAGCTACATTCTGATTAGGTTATAGAAAAGGTAACAATTTGTTTCGACCAATCAACAGTCAGTTCTGTACATAATCAATTTAAAGACTATGCAAAAACAAACATTTAATTACAATATTCAGATATATTGCAAGACTTTATATACAGAACTTCAAATGATCAAAGGAGTCTGCATCCCCATAAACAGAACACAATAACAAGGTATTAATTGTATAAAATAATTAATTAATTGTATAAATACAATATGATTGTATTTATGTGTTCATTTTAACTCTTTTAACTCTATAACAGTATGATCAGCTGCTTTTGGTTGAGTACCATATTCTCTCCCTTTTCACAGCATTTAAGTCCCCTATAATAAGAGGTGGTTCAAGAGCCACAAGTCTTCTCAAATGCATCAGCACTTTATTCCTGGCCAAAGCAAAATCAAAGATTTTTTGTTTGTTTTTTTCCTATCTCCTATGATGTTCAGTGAATCCTTCCCAATTTTTCAGCCAACAGCACTAGTGATACTGATAAGACTGAGTTTCCTTGAGCAATTACAATGAATTCAGGAGACTCTGCTCTCAGGTAGATGAAGGAAGAAAAGGGAGGGCGGATTATTAGATCTGGGGGATCAAAAATTCTGAAATGAATTAGAAGTTTCACCATCATTAAATTGGCACAGGTGGATGAACTTCTGTTTCACTGCAGATTTCTAACGCATTTATTCACCATCTTGAATGTATCTGTCATTGCAACAACACAATGAATTAAGGAAGTGGTTTAACTGCATTTTAAGGATATAAAACTGAATAACAAGAGCTCATGGTCACACAAACATATGAGGCGGAGTGGAAGCTCCAGCCTAGGTGCCCCAACTCAATGGCTTGTGACTCAGTCAAGGACTTCCTACTTTCATTTTCATTAGATTCTAATTCTAATCCTGTTCCATGTAATATAAGCAAATACACAGGAGTTTGGGATTCTTTTTCATTAACTCTTTCTTTCTAATTAAATACAGCTAGATGGAGTGATAATTCCCCAAGAAAATTTAGGAACTTGAGATGTAATTAAACCTTTTTCAGTTCCATTTTGCTCTAACATATGATACAGAGATCAGTACACAGAAAGAAATCAGTCAAAAGAAAAAATAAAATGGAAATATTAACTGCTGAGTCCTGAGGGAAACAACTGAAAGGCAGGAGTTATAAACTAGTTAATAGGAAGACAGATTTTCACCTGAGGATAAAGCACTGGGGACGCTGCTCCTGGAATAGCATGTGGTAAGCTCTTTCGGCACAGGAAAATATATGTGGAGGAAGCGAGGAACACAGTTTTCCAGAGTTGCTTAAGTAAAGTTGAGTGACCTGAAAAATTGTTGAAAATTAATACGATCAATACATTTTAAACTAACTGTGTTTCACGCCCTACTTCTGGATCTTCTATAAAGCTCTCTAAGCATTTTGAGGAGAACATCTGTATGTATATAAATGGTACCCTTAAACTATCTGTGAAGAGTTTAATTTAGTGAAAACAGAGCTGTAAGCATAGAAGTTCTAATTAAGATACAAAATGAAATGTCACCAGAGAACTCAATACTACTGGTTTACGGATTAAATAAAACTAAAGCCAATAATAGCCACTTTGTTTATACCTCATATACCTCAAAAACTATATACCTTATATAGTTTTTCAATATCTCAACTTCAAAATCTTACAAAGTAAAACATAACTACCCTATGAAAAGTTAAAATAGAAATCAACCAGTTTAAGTTATAAGTTAATTAAGCTATTACACGACAGAGCAGTCTCCCACAAATACGCTCTGTACAGCATAGAATAATTTCTGTAATACACATAGCTGGCAACATATACTATCCTTAATACTTAAGTATGGATAAAAGCAATAGTCTGTCTCTGAACCCACAATTTTTTGAAAATATCTTGACATTCATTCATCTGATAACAAGCACATTTTAGCAAAACTAGATAGTCTGCTAATATCTACAAATTAGCTCTTTCAGAATAAATAAATTTTATAAAGAAAATACAGAACTTGAGTTAGATGAGGTTGTGAGCAAAACGCATCATACCATTTTGCAAATATCCTTAAATAAATAGTTTTAGATGTCTTGTTATATAGCTTTCTTAGCCTTCCTCATGGGTCTGGAAAATTAAGACAGGTCCCACAGGAGCCCACAACTTTCTGGAGTGGCAGAGGGAGGCGGGCTGGAACACTAAAAAGTATCTAAAATACTTGATGACAACAGTTGAACAACTGTATTTCCCCTTTTCCATCATGTCCTGTTTGCCATAACCATTCTCTCTAACAGCCTTTCCGTCACAGAGTTGTTTTTTACTTGCTCCTGTCTTCTAACTTTTCTTTCCTACCTTGTTGCTCCTTCCAGCTTCTTTTCATTTTTCCCTTCATTTAGTTAACTTCCTTCCAAAGTAGAGCTGCTCCCCCCAATAGTAATAGTGGAAGTTATGTAGTGTTTACTGCCATCGCATTGACAACTGCATTTTTTAATCACCTGTTTCCATGCCTGTATTATTTATTTAGATATTAAACTCTTTAATATTGGGACCACCTACAAAAGCAGACTAAACAAGATTAAAAGAGAATATATTCATACCAATTCTCACAGAATCATTTCAGCTTGGCACAAACCATCGTGAAAGAACTTAACACATTTATTCTCACTGCATAATGTTGCAAGTTTTTTGTAAGGTTAGATATTTTGCTAATTTGTAAACTTAATCAAATTCTTTCTGCTCTATCCTAATCACAAATAAATACTGCACAAATGTAGCAAAGGAGGATGACTGTAGTACAAGCTGTTTCTACAAAGTAGCTGCAATGGTATCTCCAAAATGGTATCTGCATGGTCACTGTAGCTATAGTGTATTTTAGTGTAAAAATACATTAATATCATCACCTGGCAAGTGCATCAAATGAAGCAATGCATATCAATGTTCATTAGTATATGATTCTTTATGTCATATCACAATGAAAAACTGCTCATAAAATGATTTATTTCAGTCATTAGAAGTCTATTGGAAATAAGTGCGGGACATCAGTACAGTATAAAAAATTAAAGACTGCCAATAAGAATGAAAATTGATTTAAAAAGAAGCAAGTATAAAATGCTCCTGCTATTGAACCAGGTACATGATCATCCTTTCATTGCTTCATCTTGGATTTAAAAACAATGTCAAGCCCAATATATCTTCACATTCTCTGATAGTTAACAAACCACATATCTGAAAGAATAACACTAACTAATGAGCCACATCATATAGCATGTCAGTGTCTACAGAGGAATTTACATCAGCAATTTTTATTACTTTAATTCACAGATCATCTAATACTTATAGACCTTGATGTAATATCAGCTAAGCTGCTGCAGTATATTTGAGCATTTCTGTAACCAACAGCAGAGAAAACAAACCTATCTTACAACCATGTTTTGATCAGCTAGGAAATATCTGTCTAATGTACAACACTATGCAGCTAATAACGACATACTGAGAGCAGTGTTCATCCCAGATGACTCAAAGGTCACAGGACATTAAGACTCTCCTACTAAAATTGGCTAAAACAGGCCTATCATAGACAGGTCAAGAGAAGATGCAGCAGACATTCAGGAAACATTTTAATAATTAAGCCTACCACCTAAAGCCTACCATCTTCCTCTTTACAGTTCTATACTGGCGCACAAACTCATTGTATATCTAACACAAAATGCACAGTGACAGGAAAGCTATTATCACCCAGAACCTTCTGGATGATTTCCATTTCTACAAACCGAATTTAGAATCCAGACTTGGAATCTGCAGCTACTGCCATCAAAGGTCACATCAGGTGGTGGAGAAGCCAACAAGGAGAGGTGAATTGCTAGACCTTGTACTAACAAACAAAGAAGGTCTAGTTGGAGAGGTGAAGGTTGGGGGCAGCTTTGGCTGCAGTGACCATGAGATGGTGGAGTTCAGGATCCTCCGAGGAGGGAGCAGGGCAATGAGTAGGATCGCAAGCCTGGACTTCAGGAGAGCTAACTTTGAGCCTCTTCAGGGACCTACTGGGAGGAATCTCATGGGGTAGGGCCCAAGAAAGCTGGTTAATATTCAAGCATCACTTCCTCCAGGCTCAAGATCGGTGCATCCCTCTGAGGAAGAAGTCAACCAAACCGAGCAGGAGACCTGCATGGATGAGCAAGGAACTCCTGGCAAAACTCCAACAGAAGAAGGAAGTGTACAGAATGTGGAAAAGGGGACAGGCCACTTGGGAGGAATACAGGGACGTTGTCAGAGTGTGCAGGGATGCGACAAGGAAGGCTAAGGCCCAGTTGGAATTAAATCTGGCAAGGGATGTCAAGGACAACAAGAAGGGCTTCTTCAAATACATCAAGAGCAAAAGGAAGACTAGGGAAAACGTGGGCCCGCTGCTGAATGGGGCGGGTGCCCTGGTGACAAAGGATACAGAGAAGGCAGAGAATGCTGCCTCTGCTTCAGTCTTCACTGTTAAGGGCAGTGCTCAGGAATTCCAGACCCTGGGGACAAGAGAAGACTCTCCCTGGAGAAAGGAAGACTCTCCCTTGGTGGAGGAGGATCAGGATAGAGATCTTTTGTCCAAACTTGACATCCACAAATCCATGGGCCCCGATGGGATGCACCCACGAGTGCTGAGGGAGCTGGCGGATGTTATCGCTAGGCCACTCTCCATCACCTTGGAAAGGTCCTGGAGATCAGGAGAGGTGCCTGAGGACTGGAAGAAAGCCAATGTCACCCCACTCTTCAAAAAGGCCAAGAAGGAGGAGCCAGGAAACTACAGGCCTGTCAGCCTCACCTCCATCCCGGGAAAGGTGATGGAACAGCTCCTCCTGAAGGTC